ATATGAAAGGTTATATATATATATATATATATATATATATATACACACACGCACATAATGCAAGAGTGCCTCATATTGCACCAGCTGCGCTGACATCCATGTGAAGGTGAATGATTTCCTCTGCTTGAGCTGTAAACAAACACGCCACGCTCAGGGAAATTCCCTGCACTTCATGTCAAAGGGCAGCAAGAGCACACGCCTGCACACTCATATCTCAGCATCTCACCGTTACACTGCCGACATATTCAAGAATATTTAGAAAACAGTAGTCATAGTCATGCATTTGCTCCACGAGGATCAAATATACTAATAAACATCTGGTAAATAAATAAATATGCGGTATACAATTGCATGATTAAAATAGCAAATGCTATTTTGCAGAATTATGACCATGTAAGTGCAATAACTTAATTAGTGCATTTCGTTATTAACGGAATTTGCAATGTGGTGTTATACCGCATTTGAGCTACTTCAGGCAGGTTTTAAAAATGCATTTATTTAATATTTGATCAATTACATGTGACCCTGGACCACAAAACCAAGGTCAATTTTTCAAAATTGGGATTTATACATCTTCTGAAAGCTGAATAAATAATCTTTCCATTGATGTATGGTTTGTTAGGATAGGAGGACAACATTTGGTCGAGATACAACTATTTGAAAATCTGGAATCTGAGGGTGCAAAAAAATCTAAATATTGAGAAAAATCATCTTTAAAGTTGTTCAAATGAAGTTCTTAGCAATGTATATTACTAATCAAAAATTAAGTTTTGATATATTTACAGTAGGAAATTTATAAAATATCTTCATGGAACATAATCTTTACTTAATATCCTAATGATTTTTGGCATAAAAGAAAAATCAATAATTTTGACCGATATAATGTATTGTTGGCTATTGCTACAAATATACCCCAGCGACTTAACACTGCTTTTGTGCTGCAGGGTCACATATTCTGTTTATATTGCCTATAATTAGTCTGTTGAGTTTAACATAATTGTATGGTATTGTGCATAATTGTGATTGTACAGTGCTTACACAAATGCCTCATTCATTCATAAAATGGTTTGTTTGTGTTGAATTAAAACCCAAAACTGCAGCAGGTCCACCAGACCCATGAACACTGGCTAAATAACAAAAATATGAACACCACACAAGGGTTAAAAGCACCACTAGATGGAGCCGCAGAACAACACAAAGCTGAGACGCTGAGAGCGAGCAGAGATTGCTGTGAGACAGACGGACCTCGTTGATGTCCACGTGTCCGTAAGGAGGCTTGCGGTGCCGGTACATCCAGAAGCACAGCAGCAGCGCCATCGAGAGCATCGTGACGGGCAGCAGAGAGCAAACCAGCAGGTTCAGGAGCACCGGCGCCGGCGGAGGAGGCTCGATCACTGACAGAGACAAACAACAACAACATCCTTCTAATACACAAAATACATACTTTAAAATGACAACAATTAATGACTATACATAAAAACAAATACAATAAATTTATTTTAAAATATATATAACAAATACCAACAAAAAATAAATGCAGAAAATATATTAAAATGATATATAAAATTCAATTATTTAAAAACAAATACAAAATAAATAATATATGTAAATAAATTCACTAAATAAATTATTTAAAAAATAAAAAGACATTAATATATTTAAACAAAAATAAATTAATTAATACACAAATGACACAAGACAAAAATTATTAATATAAATACATAAAAAAATAAACAATAAATACATAAAAAATATATAAATACCAAATAAATGAAAAATAAAAAAATAAAACAAAAGAACACACATTAAAATAAATTAAAATCTAAAAATGTATTAAAATAAATTCTAAACAAATTTAAAATAAATTCACTAATTTAATTTGATCAAAAATATAGCAAAAAAATAAATAAAAATCAATAAACGTTTATTTAAAATAAGTAAATGTATAAACAAATAATAAATACTTAAAAATAAGGAAATTAAAATAAATAAATAAACAAATAAATTTGCTGTCACTGTTTAGTATGAACGGTTTCCTGAAACACAGCATGAATGTTTTGGTGACTGTAAAGAGTGCATGAATATTTATGTTTATGATGGTCTTCAGACTGCAAACAGCAGATGAGCAGCTCGTCGGAGGATCTCTCACCTGGTCCGCTGACGTCAGGCAGGTGCGTGAACCTCTCGTTGCAGAAGTTGCCTTCGCAGCAGCAGAAGAACACCTGCGGGTTTTCCTCGGTGGCCACACACTCCTGTCTGAGAGAACCAGACTCAAACGGTCAAAACACACAGCTTACTGTAAACACTGCTTCAGCGCTAATAAACAGCTCTTTAACAAGAGATGGCAAACAAGACTTCATGAGGAGGAAGAAGAAGAATTAAAAAGACATTATGTAAACGTCAGATCTCAAAACATCCAGACAATTATTTATTAACATTACACAATTTTTAAAAATAAATAAATATTTTATTTCAATAATGATGGCTACTGAAAACTATTATTATTAATAAAATAAGTTATATATTAAAGTAATATACATTTAAAAATAAATGAATTTGTATTTATTTAATGTATTCAAATAATGTCTATTGACTAATACATAAAATATATAATATAAATATAAAATAAACAAGTAAACAAATAAATAATATAAACAAACAAACAAACACAAACACAAAATTGGAAACACTTCAGGAGTTTCGAAGTCGTCATCGGATTGGTTGAATT